TGATAATGTCGGGCTCCGACTTCACCTAATTACCACGCCTCGCTGAGCAAAAACGGAGCCTGCTGCTGCTGATTGCCCTTCCAGCACGCGCTGATCCCAGCGCTGCAATTGGTGATGACATTGTGCTCCAGCGCTGCCTCCCACATCTCGCTGATCAGCGCCTGCGTCGGCTGCCACTGCTCGTCCTCTCTTGCGCCCAGTGATCACAACGCTAAAGTTCTGATAACGTCCGAATCCCAACATCGCCTCCCACATCTCTTTCAACAACGCCAGAGCCCGCGGCCACTGACCACCTTTCACTCACACGCTTTTCCTCAGCGTGCTAGCCTGTCGTATCGTCTCTCCGCAGCAGAGCGAAAATCGCAGGGCTGTAGCTGGCTGCGTTGGGCTGTAGCTTCGCCTCCCGCATCTTGCTCAGCAGCGCCAGGGTCCGCTGCCACTGCTCGTCCTTCGCGCACGCGCTGAACCTAGCGTTGTAGCTGGTGACATGGGGCACATCGGGCTCGAACTTCGCCTCCCTCATCCCGCTCAGCAGTGCAAGCGCCGGCTGCTACTGCTCGCCCTTCTCGCACGCGCTGATCCCGGCGTTGTAACTGATGACGTTGGGCTCCAGCTTCGCCTCCCGCATCTCGCTCAGCAGTGCCAGCGCCGGCTGCCACTGCCCGCCCTTCTCGCAAGCGCTGGTCCCAGCGTTGTAGCTGACTAGGGCTTACCCGCGGCCTTCGGGCCGCGGAATCTGCCCGCCATGGCGTGGACGTGGAAGTGGAGCGTCTCTGGGGCCTCGCGGGTAAGGGGAGGTTGGAGGGGACGGCGTGGATGGAGGAGGTGGCCGCTGGAGGTGGAGGTGGCCCAGGAGGGATACAGGCAAGCGAGTGATAACTTTATCTGGCAGTGTGGTGGCAATGGGGCCAGTGGGCGCGGTATAGGAGGCCCACAAAAGGGCGGCGAAACGGCCCAAAAGGTCTCCAGGACGGGCCAAGAGGCTCTGAAGGCCCCACGAACTCCCGAAGACGGGCCCCAATGCGAGGACACGAATCGACCTTTCGAGCGCACCGCCCCAAGACGTCCCCAACTGGCGCAGAGATGGCTCCCAGAGGGTCCAAGAAGCCCCCAAGACGACGCTGGAAGTTCGACGCTCCCCAGGAGAGAAGCATCCAAAGCCTCTTGGGGGCCGTTTGGGGGCCCTCTTTTCGTCCTCCTGGGAGTCTCTCGGGGCCCTCTTGGGCAGTCTTGAGTGCCTCTTGGGCCGTCTTGGGGCGATTTGGAGCCGACTTGGGCGCCTCTCGGACCATCTTGGGGCCGTCTTGGGGCCATCTTGGGCCGATCTTGGGCGCTCTTGGGGCTGTCTTGGGTGTTTCCGGGGCCGTCCCGGGCGCCTCTGGAGCCGTCCTGGACGGCCCACAGACCGTCTTGGAGACTGTGCATACGGAAAGGCTTGGAGAAGGGGCGGCAGAGGGCTCTACAGCCGTCTTGGTGTCGCCCTGGGGCCGTTTTGGGCGCCTCTTGGGCTCTCTTGACGCCCTCTGGGGCCGGTTTTCGTGCGTCTTGGGGGCCTCTTGGGCCGTCTTGGGGCGGTCGTGGGGACCTTGAACCAGCTTCTGCGCCATATTCCCGACAAGCAGCGCATGCTAAAATTGAGCGTTTTTCTTTGGGGAAACAATGGTTTTCGCCTCTTGGGGCCATCCTTGGACGCCTCTTGGGCGTCTCTGGGGCCGTCGTGGAGGCCTCCTGGGCCGTCTTGGGTTTGTTTTCGGCGGTCTTGGGCTCTCTTGGAGCGCTCTTGGGCCGTCTTGGGGGTGTCTGGGGCCGTCCTGGGCGCCTCTTGGGGCCGCCTGGGGGCCGTGTTGGGCGCCTCTTGGGTCTCTGGACGCTCTCGCGGGCCGGTTTTCGTGCCTTTGGGGGGCCTCTTGGGCCGTCTTGGGGCGGTCGTGGGGGCCTCTTGTCCCATCTTCTGCGCCATACTCCCGACAAGCAGTGTGTGCTAAAGTTGGACGTTTTCCGTTGGAAGAACAATGATTTGGACCTATGGGGGCCATCCTGGGACGCCTCTTGAGCGTCTCTGGGGCCGTCGTGGAGGCCTCCTGGGCCTTGTCGGGGCCGTTTTCGGCGGTCCGGAGCGCTCTTGGGCCGTTTTGGGGGTGTCTGGGGCCGTCCTGGGCGCCTCTGGGGCCGCGTGAGCGCCTCTGGGGCGTCCCCGGAGCCGTTGTGGGGCATTTTTCGCCCATCAAGACAGGGACCCTTCCCGCACGCACGGGTCCCTGCATTCTAGAGAAGATGACGTTGGGCTCCAGCTTCGCCTCCCGCATCTCGCTCAGCAGTGTAAGCGCCCGCTGCCACTGTCCGCCCTTCTCACACGCGCTGATCCCAGCGCTGTAGCTGATGACGTTCGGCTCTAGCTTCGCCTCCTGCATCTCGCTCAGCAGTGCAAGCGCCGGCTGCCACTTCTCGCCCTTCTCGCACGCGCTGATCCCAGCGCTGTAGCTGATGACGTTGGGCTCCAGCTTCGCCTCCCGCATCTCTCTTAGCAGCGCAAGCGCCCGCTGCCACTGCTCGCCCATCTCGCACGCGCTGATCCCAGCATTGTAGCTGATTAGGGCTGACCCGTGGACTCCGTCCCCGACATTTTTACCTAACAGCGAAGACTGATAGGTTTCTAGTGGGATCAAAAGAGAGCAGCAGATCACTCCACAGGGGGGTCCGGGCAGGTGTTGGGGCGTTTCCGGGCGGCATGAGCCGGGCTCGTTTTTCACCAACAGTCACACACTTCGTGCTCTTCGCCTTCCCAGAACTCCATTCCCAGGCCACATTCTGGGGGGCCGGATGCAACTGTAGGCCACTTCGTGCTCTTCGACATCCCAGAACGCCATTCCCGGGCCACATTCTGGGGGGCCGGATGCAACTGTAGGCCACTTCGTGCTCTTCGACATCCCAGAACGCCATTCCCGGGCCACATTCTGGATGCCCGGAGCCAACTGTAGGCCACTTCGTGTTCTTCCATTTCCCAGAACTCCATTCCCGGGCCACATTTTGGATGCCCGGAGCCAACTGTAAGCCACTTCGTGCTCTTCGAGTTCCCAGAACTCCATTCCTGGGCTACATTTTGGATGCCCAGAGCCAACTCTAGTCCACTTCCTGGTCTTCGAGTTCCCAGAACTCCATTGCCGGGCAACATTTTGAATAGCCAGACGCTTCATATTCCTTCCGCCACAGCTGTGTTTGGTTCAGGACTTGCTAGTGACACTGCAGTCCTCTGCATTCAATTGGCCACTACATTCATTCACTGCAGTCCACTGAGTTTTGATTGCAATGGCGTTCCCCTGGCCGTACCCCCATGTCCAACGTTCATCCGCAGCCTCTGCTCCGCGAGGCTCGTCCGAAGTGTCGCCGCCTCGCGGTGCTTCTCAGCCTGCGCCGCCTCGCGGTGCTTCTCAGCCTGCGGAGGAAGGTGGACAGACGCCTGGTTCTGGCGCTGTGCAGCCTGCGTCTTTCACGGTCGCCTCGTTCAATTTCGGGTTCGAGCAGGGCATGATGACTGGTAAGCAGGCGGCCACTCACTGCGCTAACTTCGGAAGGTTGTGCGCCAAGATAGTGGAGACCGCTGATGCTGATATGGTCTGTGGCTGCGAGGTCGGTGCGTTCCGTGAAGGCTTTCGCCGAGCAGGGATCAACGTGACAGAGATCCTCAGTAAGCCTTTCGGTGATGGCATTCGCTTCTTGGAGGTCGACAACTACTTGACTCTCTGGGGGTTCCGCGGTGCTTCTCAGCCTGCGGAACTGACTCTGTGCGAAGACAGCAAAGTTTACAGGCCTCCTAGCGGCCGAGATATTGATGCTGTTATTTCACATTTTGAGGTGAACAAACCAGGCCATGACAAGTTCCACGTGGTGATCGCCAACATGCACATCGTGTGCGGCAAGAAACCGCCGAGCATCCAGACTCGAAAGCGGACAGTTCGCCATCTCCGCTTGCACCTGGACGGCCTGGCCAAGATTCTTGAGAATCTAAACGAGGCAGTCGTTGTGCTTGTAGTCGGCGACGACAACCTCACTTTCCAGGAGGCGCGGGAGGCTTACCAGCGCGAGCAGAACGACGAGAAGGTATGGGAGGTCCATGCCACTCCGGCCGACCTCAAAGGCGACCACGTCGCGGTCTGCGGAGCAGTCGCCCGTTTCTGCTCCATTGCCGTTGGCGCGTCTTTTACGGATCGTGGCATGCGCAACGACGCACACGATGCGGTGGCGGTTGTGCTCACTCTCCCTGGTGCTATTCAGCCTGGGGAGAGCAAGAGGCGGAAAATTGTCGTCGAAAACGTCTCCGACGCCGACGTCAGCGTACAGGCGGACCGCGAGTCTTCTGTGCATTGGGATCGGTCGCCGAGTTCTGCTCCTCCGCTTTCACCGACTTCACCGGGTGATCCCGACTACGTCGAGGATGTCGTTCAGAATCGCGCGGACGACTTGCACAGGGAGCTGAGGCAGCTTTGGGACGACAGGTACGACGAGGAGTACGATCCGAAAGTCCTCCATCATCTCAGTCTCTTGCTTTTCAAAAAGAGGAAGTCCACGGAGCCAGCGGACACTGATCCAGCTGGCGCTCCTCAGCCTGGCTCGGAATATGACACGGCCTTTGCGTCTCAGGAGGAGACTGGCCGAGCCATTCTCTCTGTCCTTAAGCTTCGACATGACTTTCTGCGGAGCAAGAACATCGACGACATGCGCTACGTTCTCACGGAGCCTGAGCGCCAGGAATTGGTCAGAGTAGCTCGCGACCAGTACGAGCAGTCGCGGCAGCAGCGTGCGCTTCAGGAACGGGATATCGAAAAGGGAAAAGCGAAAGGCAAGTCTGCGCCACAAGGGGGCCATGCGGTTCCGCAGGGTCCGAACAAAGGGCCAGGCGGTAAGAAAGGTTCTCACGGTGCTTCTCAGCCTGCGGGAAAAGGTGGCCAGGCCAAGGGTGCAGGTCTGGGTAGCGTCGCCAAGTTTGTGAAAGACCAGAAGCGTAAGCGGTGGCATCGCCATTTGCAACGTGTGGCCGGTACCAAACAGATCTGGGAGGTGCTGGCCTTCTCAGGGCGCTTCGACGTTGATTGGTTAACGCAAGCGTTGCAAGCTGATCACAGTGAGGGCCGTGATGCAGCAGTTCCCGAGGAAGCTCTGCGGCAACAGCGGCGCCGGCTGCACCACCAGAAGGCCGAGGCCATCGCGCGCTACAACGAGGGGGAGCGGCTTTCCCTCCATCTGTCTGCCCAGGCTGGCCAGGCAAAGCCGAACTTCACGCGCAGGCAGCTGGACGTGTTGCAGATGTTTGAGAGCGGAGCGCTGCTTCAAATCCGCAACCAAGCGATTCTGGCGTGCGGGCACGGCCGTCTGTTCAGGGGCGATGGCGACTACCTGGACATCGGCGGCAGCACGGGCGGTGGCTCCAGGCGCATCATCGATTCTTGGCAGCCGCCGGACTGGCGTGACTTCCTCCAAGACGATCAGGACATCTGAGTTTTGCAAGTCTCTCTGCCCGCGGTGCTTCTCAGCCTGCGGTCTGCCGCTCTCCAGCTGCGGTCTCGAGCAGTAGTGTTCGAAAGCATGCGAGTTCCTGCGGTGCTTCTCAGCCTGCAGGTTTCGCAGCCTGCGCTCTGCAGTACAAGTGCTTTTCAGCATGCGACATCCTGCGGTGCTTCTCAGCCTGCAGGGTTCGCAACGTGCGGTTTGCAATGCATTCCTTTTCAGTATGCGAGTTCCTGCGGTGTTTCTCAGGCTGCAGGGCTCCGAGGCTCTTCGCTTCGATGCCAATGTTTTCAGACACCGTAGCTCCGTTCCGTAAACGTCTTCCAAGAGCCGCTCGCAACCTTTTGCAGCTGGCTGTCTGCACGCTTCGCCGGCTTTTGCTGCGCGGACAATTTTCTCACACACGTCAGCGCCGTTTGTAGGCGTCAGAAAAACATGTAGACATTCACGAAGGGCTCAGTCTGTATATCGTCACATCATTACATACGCAGTCGTCGAACACATCGGTGTACATTCAGCGCTTTGTCCTTCTACAGCATTCTTTCCGTTGATAACAGTGTTCTGATGGGTTCGCTTCGTTCTAAAAGCGTTGATAGCAGTGTCTCGTTTGCGGACAACTCATTCTATATCAACTCACTGATACCGAGTTTCCTTTCACCATAAGTGAATGCATACCAGTGTATGTTGGTTACTACAAAAGTGGGTTCCTACAACCGACTTCATGATCGCTATCATCATCGCAGATTTCACTCATCCTCATCACCACGACTGGTTCACGTTGGCCTGCGGTGCTTCTCAGCCTGCAGTTCCTTTCGTTACACTGTAGTTGAAGCCGTTCATGGCAGTGACTCGTTTAAAGACAACTTTAGTATTGGGGGAAGTGTCGATAGCAGCGTTTCTTTTTACTTATACAAGCGTTGATAGCAGTGTCTCGTTTGTGGACAACTCATTATATATCAACTCATTCATACAGAGTTTCTTTTCGCAGCAAGTGAATGCACAGCAGTGTATCTGCATTACTGGCCCCCACTCCATTATCACTATCATCATCAACGATTTCCTACACGCGTGTGCGCGGCGGTCGCCATGAGTGAATAGTTTGCAGAGACTTCTCGCATTGATACCCATGGGTCACTTCAGAGTGAACTCATTTGTGATCTTCTTTCATTGGAAGTTGAATCGGTTGATGGCAGTGCCTCGTTTAAACTCCACTTTGGTATTGCTAGTAGTGTCAATGCCAGCGTTTCTTTTTAATTGTGCAAGCGTTGATAGCAGTGTCTCGTTTGTGGTTAGTTATAACAGCGTTGACAGCAGTGTCTCGTTTGCGGACACCTCATTGTACATCAACTCGCTGATACCGGGTTTCCTATCAACACCATCATCATCATCCTTAACCATGTTTGCTCGAGTTTCACCTGGCCGTCCAGCCGCGGCGGTGCTCCTCAGCCTGCCTTGTCACAATGCCAGCACGCGGCAAGGCATCGCCCCCGCCACCCCCGGCCCCGTGCGATGGCCCGTGGGAGATTCTGCCGGATCCGCCCGCACCGACTCCTCAGCCAGGTGTCGACGTGGTCTTTGAGCAGGCTCACCTCGAAGACATCCGCCGTACACCAGGGATGGGCGGCAAGACCGCCTGCCAGTGGCAGCGCGCGCTGCGCGCCGAGTGCATTGTCAACAACTTGTCGTTCAAAGACGTAACAAACGACCCGTCCTACGACTGGAAGCAACTGCTTCGGTCTGCCGCTCCGGGTTTCGCTGAGCGCATAATCGGGCAGGGCATCGCCCAGGTTCTCTTTCGCATCATCGAGACAGAGCGCGACCCTAACTACTCCAACACGGATGGCCACGGCAGGCACTTCTTCGAGTTCCGTCGTGCAGACGGTTCAGCCATGCGCCTGCATTACCATAAGAACGGCCGACCCGATGAGCCCACCTATGTCGGTCCACCACGCGCCGTTGCTCAGCCTGCCGTGCCTGAGCCTGGCGCTGCTCAGCCTC